TTCGAGGCCAGCCTGGTCTACAGAGTGAGTTCCAGGACAGCCAGAGAAACCCTGTCTCGAAAAGCAAAAACAAAAAACAAAAAAAACAAAACAAAACAAAAAAAACCTTGGTGTAATAGCAGAGCCCTGTGGTACAATTTGGCAGAACTGGCATTGAAGGGAGGTTTTGCTTGCAGGTATCTCCCTTCAAAAGACTAGAATATACGTGAATGGAGGCTAGGCTGGAAAGGAAGGGCTTTCCCACTAAGACAGCAGGCCTTAGACAAAACAAAGGAGCTGGCAAGGGACAGCCCAGCTGAGCCAAGACAGGACACGGCTGCTGAGCTTGACCCAGCTTTCTGGGGGCTGAACCTCAATGTGACTGGCCAAGCGTACCAATCTTTTACCCCAAACCATGTCTGGCTGGCCTGAGCTTCACTGGCAGAACACAGGATCATGAATATGGATTTGAGAATGACAGGGTGAGAACAGAAGTCAGGTAGGACCAAGAAGGGGTCAGGTGTGTGCAGCTTACAGTTATGAAGAAGCAGTGAAAATAACGTTATGGCCGGGGGTTACCACAGCATGAAGAGCTGTATTAAGGGCTGCACAGGTAGGAAGACCGAGCTCCAGATGCTCCATGCACAGCAGCAGGAACCAGACAGAGGGAGGGAGGGACGATTGGACAGGTGGGAAAGATGGAACGGATTCTCTCCAGACTTCTGAAGGACCCCATGGACACCTTGGTTCTGCTTCACTCACGAGATGCCTCTAAAGAGCTGATGCCCTAAACTGTAAGATGGCAGATCTGTGTCATTTTAAGTCACTAGCTGTGTGGGGTGCTGCTGGGACAAATTCCTAAAGATGTGGAAAGGGTAGTGGGCACAGACCTTAAACGGCAGGAAGCACTGTAGGGAGGTTAGTCCCTCTGTCTCCAGGACTTCTAAGTGAGAATCTCATCTTCCACTGAGACTCTACAGCGCAGACCTCAGACCTGTGGCCATCTTCTAGCCTCAGCTTTCCCTGGGACTGGGACCGGACACCTGGCCAGGAAGCTGATCTTTCTAAGCCAAGTGCGGAAGGTGTAGCAGGCTTTCTTTTTGCTACTTATGGGAGAAGAGAAACTGAGGGGGGGAAAACTGGAGCAGAAAGAAACCAGGGCCAGATGGCTGGGGGAAATTCTTTAATATACTTCCTCATAGAGTGCACAGAAAAATATAGTCAGAGTGGTGAAATGTGGAGGGCCAGCAGTGACTACCCGGGAAGAGTGGAAGGTTCGAGGACATCAAAGGTCAGAGAGCACACATGTGATGGGCGAATTCCCATGGCCATATTGACAGAAGCCAAGAAATGTGATGGGACCAAAAATACCTCAAGGAACCTCCTGTGACTGCACAGATTTCTGTGAAAAAGTATACCTGGCAAGGTTCTTGAAATTTTACTAGCAAAAACACTAATTCAGACAAAAAAAAAAGGGGGGGTCAGGATGAAATAGTAATAAAAAAAAAAAAAACCCAGTTTTTTTTTTTTTTTTTTTTTAAGACTAAGGATCTCTTCTACAAGCAGGAAGGTTGTTAAAATTCCAACCTCAACTGTGCTATTTGGTGAAAATTGTCTCCCAATGGCCACATGAGCCACAAAGGAGCCATTCAGGAGGCCTGGCTGGATTCTGAAACTGTCTAGAACCTCTTGTGCATTCCCCTTCTTGAATGGGAGGGCCTGCTGCCTGTGAGCCTGCTGCTTTACACGGTGTGCTTTCAAAAAATGGCAGAATGTTAGAAGACAAAACAAGAGCCTGGACTGTATGGGTAGACTTGGTTCATCGTCCTTGTGATGGTGGGATGCAGGAGGGCCACAGGGATAAGCAGAGGCCAGGAGGATGAGATGCCAAAGGACATGCATTAGTGCGAGAAACACAAACAGGTAAACGTTCAGAGCCTCACAAGAAACACACTCTACTGTTCTTTGGCCCTATTTCAACTTCTGACCTTCAGGACCATTTTGATGACAGATTTTCAGTTTTAAGCAGGAAGGTTGTGGTAACCCTTTAGAGCTGTCAGAAAACCTGTTCCAGGACACATAGCCCGCTCCAGAGAGTGAGGTCCAGACTTCTTTGGAGTACGGGAGACGGAGCAGATCTGCTTGCTATCTGAAGGGCATACCTTCCTCAGCTAGTGCAGAAGGCTAGGGCCAGATGGGGCATATCTGGCCTTGCAGGCCACAGGGTCCCTCCTGAGGACTTGGTCTAAGATTATGCTGACTAGCATAGGGAACCAAATAATTATCCTCTTTCCATGAAGGGCCCCACCTAATCAAGAGGAACTAAGTGGTCTACAGGATAGGAGGCCTGTGCTACTTTAGCAAGGGAACAAGCAGGAAGGAACAGACTTCAACAATACACACCCTGCACAATGACGCTGATTAGCCCAGGCAGCCCCCAGCAGGCACTGCAGGAAGAACTAGAGTGAGCTCCAGTATGCATGAGACACATGGAAAAGTCCAGAGAACATTTTCCATGACAGTGTGGGCACGGAGGCTTTGGCACTCACAGCCTACAAGAGCAGAGCATCCCAGAAGAGCACACCATCACACCCTGTGCTTTAACTTGCTCCAAAGGCCAACAATCAGCAGTACTAGGGTTGGTTTTTTTTTTTTTCCGTTTAAAGGAAAAAAAAAAAAAAAACGAAACAATCTGACATGCTGTTTGGCTGAGCACGAGTCCATGAGTACATGGGCCGTGGGTACTCACTCCAGCCAAGGATTTCTGGATGTTCTCTCTGGCTCTTGCAATGTCTCGGAGGATCACGCTGGCACCATTCTCCTGCAGACAGTGCAGAAAGAACCAGTCTTTTTTGTTTTGGTTTAAAAAAACTTTTTAAACACACACACACACACACACCAAAAAAAAAAAAAAGCCCACACAGAAAAACAAAAGCCCTAAGAACCCTCACTCAAAAAGCAAGAATGCACTACAAAGAGGAGGAATAAATTATACAGAATGAAAGCTCCCAAGACAGTGAAAAGCAGGTGATCGAGACCATGGCCACAAAGTCTGCAGGTAGCCATACATGCTAAGGCCTGGCCACACACCACCACTAGACACCTGTTTGCTGGTTGCCCCTAGGTGGCATATGTGTTAGGATCAGGAGCCAGCAGCAGAAGCACCCCGGGAGCCACTCGGCCCTAACTAACATGTCTCTGGCCTACCCAGCTCCAGCAGCCCTGAGCACAGTCCTCACCTGGCGGGAGCCAGAGGCCACAGGCCCGTTCATCTGCTCGTAGAACCTCCTTTCTGCATCGTCATATTTAAACTTGTCAAACCAGATCTTCTCGTGCACTAGGAAGTTTGTAGCCATTTTTCTGCTGAGATGGGAAAGAGTGGCTAGGTCAGCATGGCCAGGGTCAACCTCTGGCTTCACCTATCCCACAGGCTCCAGGTCTCCCCAGCCTGAGCACTCTATATCAACAGGTCAGAGGTAAAGAACCAGGCAACTCAAAGGCTATATCACATGCTGGGCCAGCTCACAGTCCTGCTTGGTTCATCAACTATGCTGCTGCATATGACCACAAACAGTTCTCAATTCAACACCAAACCCCTTCCACACACAAAAAGGAAGAGTCAACAGCCCTTCTGTCACCAAAGGCCCCTATCAGGGCCTGAGTAAGGACTGGTCCCTGGGCAAGTCCTCCAGGCCACTAAGCACTCAGGCCCTGAGTTTTCTAACCATACAACCCAACTATAACCCATACCAGCAGCTAGAGCACAAAAGCAGCCCAGATGGACGGCCTAAGCCAGCCATACCCACCCTTCAGCCAAACAGGTTTTTAAATGAGCAGCCCACGTCGTTCCATTAAGTTATTTTCCATAAAAATGATGTTATCCTGGTATGTAACGTGTCATTCTCTTTAAGTATATAAGTACTTTTAGTACTTATCTGTTTTGATTAAGATGGATAAAAAAAAAAAAAAATCGGGGCTGGAGAGATGGCTCAGTGGTTAAGAGCACTGACTGCTCTTCCAGAGGTCCTGAGTTCAAATCCCAGCAACCACATGGTGGCTCACAACCATCTGTAATGAGATTTGATGCCCTCTTCTGGTGTGTCTGAAGACAGCTACAGTGTACTCATAAATAAAATAAATAAATCTTTAAAAAAAAAAATAAAAAAAAAAAATAAAAAAATCAAGGGTACAATGAAAGTTCGGTGAATTCCAAGACCAGAGTCCAGCTCACTATGTCTCTGCAAGCCATGCTCCGCCGTGCAGCTCCTACACCGGCACAGCATGGGAGCTAGGGTATGCAGTGTCCAGAGTCTGCCACTCGCTATCCTGCCCTTCTCACCAGGTGCGACATACCCACCCAATCTCACTCTGCCGTTCTGTGTGGGAGGCCTCAGGCCACCAGCAGCCTATCTAAGTGTCTTCGTATAAGAATACAGGCCTAACACTGCTTCTCTTCCCCAGGACACATTGGTGGACACAGGGTGGGTAGGTGGCAGACAGGACAGAGATCCCCAGGGACTACTGGGCTCTTCCCATTCCTCCCACACTGCCCCAGATTGGTGTTACTTCTCAGGAGACCAGGGACCCTCTTCTTCCTCCCTGACCCTTCTGTGTTTATTCATTATACCTATCTGCCTGGGAGATCACCTCCCATAGTCATATAGTCAGTCATTCCTTGGCCTTCAGAGACCAACCTTAGGACTGCACCTGTGTTGGATCAAGATCCCTTGGAGGCTGGGAGCTAGGCAGATTTCTTTCCCCACAGGGAGGTCAAAAACAAAACAAAACGAAAAAACAAAGCAAAAACAAACCCCAAGCACCCTGCAGAGGCTGCCAGACCAGACATGTGCTCTTGGATCTAATGCCCGTCTCACCTCAATAGGCATATACTATATGGGTATCAAGACCTACCAAGTGCCAGTGACCCAGCTGCAGAGATAATGTCTTCTGTGCTCTTTGACCCCTTTCCCTACCAACACAACTCAGAACTCTGTAACCTTCAAAGGACAGAGCACCACTGGTGCCCATGCTAACCCTACACCGGCGAGTATGAGGAACCCCAGCCTAGAGATAGCTGCCTCTATTTTTGTAGCCTATCCCTTTTGTAGACAATCCCAACACCTGCAGCCATATTTCTCCTACTTGGGTCTCAGGCTGGACATGGATGGGCCAGATCGGGGCGTGGGTCGGTGAGCCAGGGAGGCAGCTTCTAGGCGCCAGGCTATGCGCAGGGCCTCAGCGGCATGGTGGCGGCACTCAGCGCTGTCGTAGGTAGGCTTGCTGAGCCAGGGGGCCTCTGCGTCCTTGTGTAGGAAGTACCAGTAGGGCAAGGCAGAAGGAGCCTCCCCATCAGCCCGTTTTGACCCAGCTCGCTTGTTTCCTACAGTATTGCGGCTCCGTCGGTCTCTGCGGCCCCTCCGGGTACCCTCTGCCTGACTGGCTCGCTCCTGCAGGCGCACTTTCCCTGGGGGATGACCATCAAAGAGGGCCTCATAGAAGCCCCTCTCAGCTGCATCATACCGGGGCTTTTCCAGCCACACCTCCCGCACCAGTGCCTGCAGGCTACCCAGAGGCGGCTGGCCATTGGCTGGTGGGCAAGGTTGGCAGGCCAAGGTCAGGTCAGGAGTAACAGCCTGCTGGCCCGTGTCAGGAGTCCCCTGCCTATGGCTCCCCTCTGCAGCCAGCAGCAAGGCCTGAGACCACTCCACAAAAGCCCGCTCAGCTTGATCAAAGCAGGACTTGTTGACCCAGATCCCCCAGGTCACATGGTGGCATGCCACATGGCTTCCATGTGTACAAGGCCCCCGAGGGGCCAGAGCAGGTGGCTGGGCTGCCTGGGCGGCTACATCTGCCAGCCTCTGGCGGTAGAAGCTTTCGGCCTGGTCGAAGAGCGGCTTGTCCAACCATACATGGTCAGCCGAGAGGCCCACGAGGGCCAGGTCCGCCTGGCCGAGCCAACCCTTTGGGGAGCGCTTCCTCTTTTTCTGTAACGGCTTCTCGTCGTCGTGGCTCTTCCTAGGATCACTCCTGCTGCTGGTGTTGGGGGTCTCTGCCTCATCGGTGTCCTCTGTGTCCTCCTGGCTGGGCCCGTTCACAGCTGGCACTTCGTCCAGGAGCTGCTGGACAGAGGCGGCGGCGATTTGTGTGGCCTCATGCTCATGGAAGCACCGCTCCGCTCCCTCATGCTTGTGCTTGTCCTCCCAGACGGTCTCCAGCGCACAAGAGGCCTTCCCACTCCTCATCTTCGGGCGCAGCATTAAAAAGCAAGCACAAGAAGGCAGTTGCAACACAGTAGAGGCACCTGCCTCCCTTACCCTCCTCGGGAGAGCAGGCAAAGGTGGGCAGGGAGGCCTGGGGAAAGGGCAAGCCACCAAAGGGGCTTCACCAGATGACATGCAAGGGCACAAAAGTCAAATCCACACAAGGAACTTTTGTAAGTCAAAAACAGCATACAAATATATGCATACATCCACATCTTATTACTATAAATGTTGCTATCCAACAAGCCCAATAGTTTCAGAAAGGGATCTAAACACCACCTTCAAACTCAGACACCTTTTCTTAAGGGGCCCCCAGCTAGGGTGCCAAATAAAACAAACAGCTGTACTCATTAACAATGGACTTTAATATAAATAACCAGTCTGGGTGTTTTACAGCTTTGTTTTTGGTTTTGTTTTAGTACAAACATCCTATGAGATGCCCTATGCTCACTTATAGCAAGAAACTACTCACGGCTTATGTGAAATCGCCCTCAGTCTGGCTGTGTTTTGCATGTTGAGCCTGGCACCTGCCTGAGGTGGCTGATGATGTTTCTAGTTCACTGACAAGGACCAGGTGGATGTACCCCCCCAGCAAGCAGGGCATCTTAGAAAGTCACCTGCACATACCTTGGCCATACAACTATCCTACGCAGACCAGTGTGGCTGCCCTTCCAGGGGCAAAGAGTCTTAGAAAAGGGGCTATTGTATTGTCAGCAGCAGAGACTATGCAGATCACCACCACAGAGATCCTTAATCTAAAGGTGATACCACCTCATCTGACGGCCACCAGACTACAACTCTGAATCCCTCTGAACCAAGGGGTCATCACGGGGCCTTCGGACTCAGGACACCACATCTCACTTGCTACTATAATCAATCTTGCCTCAGGATCCTCAGCTTCCTCACTGGACATGGTGTTACCTCAAGTGCTACAAGACTTTCTGCTCCCTCAGCAGGGTGTGGCGCTGAAGCACACAGCAACAGCCACACAGGCAGGACGTTACTTCCTGAGGCCAGATGTGGTTCCACTAAAGGACAGGTTCCAGGCTCAACCAGCCAGCTCAGAAAGCTGCAGGAAGTGTTCTTAGAGCTGCCATGCCCTAGACAGGTAACTCTATCAAGATTCTTGTAGTCTAACACTCGAGGGCTGAGGGTAGAGGCGTTGTTCTCGTGCCTCTTCTGTGGGTCTGTAGTAACAGACCCAGGCCTTCTGCTGGGCAGTCATGCAGTCAAGGACACCCTTTGGCTGGACAACAACCACTCACATCACTGTCTAGGGCCTTTTCCTAATACACCCAACAAAACACTTGACTGGAAGAGTGTTAGCTAACTAAACCTCACCCATGTTGAGGACCTCAGAAAACTCTTCCTGTCCTCCCTGAAGCCTACCTCTAAGTGAGAGCTAAAGTTCTTTAGTGCAATCTACCCAAGCTCTCTCACTGTGAGGAGCCAGGACCAGGGGTCACAGAGGTCCAGTGTAGAGAAGTCTCTAGGCCACCCCCTCACTTACCAAGGCCAAGTAGCAGGGGCAGGGGCAGGGACTGAGGGGGAAACCTAGAAGGCAGAGCATTGTGACATCACCCACTGTCACCAAGGGGGCAGTATATGCCATCACAGCAGGACGTGCCTAGCTCTAACCTCCTTCGGGGACTGAGGCTCTCAGTCCCTGAAGCTGCTGTTCTCATGGAATACTTACTACAGGTCTAGGCTTATCCCCACTCCCTCCAGCAATGCCCACTAACCCAGGCCCCTCACCAAACTTAAGACTAGGAACCCTCCTGAAGGAAACAGATGTAGCTGCTTCCAATGCTTCCCAACTCACCCCCCTACGGGGCAGGATTAGGTCGCAGAAACTAGATGCTTCCCCAGGCCACATATTCATATTTGGCCACAGCTTCTCCACAGGGCAGAGGGTTATGTGCTGACCTGCTTGGTACCAGGGTTACATGGGTATCTACTTGCCATTGGAACAAGCTGACCACGCCACTTCCCTGTTCCAGCAAGCTCAACTCTGCATAGGTATGCCTCTGTCAGGCAAGGCAATGGCTGGGAGGGCTCGTTGGCTCAGGTGAAGGGCGATACAGGGTGCTATGCAGGTGTACTTACTTTTGCTTTGGCCTCCTAGGACAGCATGAAGGAAAAGCAGCAAGGTTAGAGCGGTGGGAAAGGCCACCCATGCCAGACAGCAGCTTGGGCCACTTGGGCAGCCTCTTAGAAACTGCTTGCCAAGATGACATGGCAACAGAAGATAAAATGGTGTATATCACCACCAAATCCCAGGTGCCTGCCCAGTCCTCAAACTTGAGAGGCAGCACTCTTCCATTAGCCCTTGATACGTAGCTCTTAGGGTTCCTATTATCTAAGAGACAAGCAGAAACCACCATGGAAGCTGCCTGCTCCCACCTGCACCAAGGTGAGCTAGTACCTACAGATGCTCCCTTAGCTGTGAAAGAAACCCAGCCTCTCTCCTTCACTGATAGGGCTTTGGAAGTTAAGGACAACCCCTTGGGTCCTATCTCCAAGGGACCAAGTGCTCCAGGTCCAGACAGCTCCAAGCTGTGGGTCTCTGCTGCCACCAGGGCCCAGTGTTCATACTGGTCCCAGGGCCTCTCACTGAAATGATGCCACCTCTGGGTTGGGGACATAGAGACCAAGGAGAAAGGAGTGCCACCCCAAGACATTAGTAGTAGTAGTACAAGCAGCAAAGGCTCCCAAGGGACAAGGTCTTCCCTAGCCTGCTTTCCTCACAGGTGTACAACAGGCTGAGAACTTTAGCCAGTTTGCACTCAGACTTGGGCATACCTGAACTCCACTGCTTCCCTGGAGGACACACACATGCAAACCTGCAGCTGTCCAGGAAAAACCAGCCTGGAAACAAGTACCAGTGAGTGTCTCAAACCCGCACAGGGCAAGTTTGTCTGTCCCCAAATCTCTACACAGGGTTGGCTTTCTTTCTCCTGAGGCTTTAATCTAGGCAATAGCAGGAACAGGCTGAAGAGATTGAAGTACCAGAGAGAAAGCAAGCTTCCAGAGAAGCAGGCTCAGCACATCAAAGGACCTAGAAAGAAGTGGCCTAAGCAGGCCCTGCCCTGCTCCCAGTCATAGGGTGGACTCCAGGATACAAGACATAAGGACCTGGTCACCTTAGGTCAGCTGTCAAGCTCATGCCGGAGCTCTGGGGGCCTGGGTGCAGGCAGCTCAAGTGTCAGACAAGGCCTGATGGCTCTTAGGTCCTGAAATACAACACAGCCAGGCATGGCCACATAGCCCAGCACCCAGACCTAGCCTCCTCTCACAAGAAGCTTGTACTAGCCAGCTGCAGTCTGAGGGCTGAGCTACAGCTGCGCTGCAGTGAAGAGCACAGGGCTTCCGAGCTCTCATAACTTCTACCAATCTGGGCCAGGCAGCAGCCTCTGCCAAGGGCACTTCTGGCTTGGGAACTGGACCCTGAGGGAGATGAGAAAGGGTATGTCACAGCTGTGCCCCATCACAGTAGCAAACACCTGGAGGCTTCCATGTGTTGCTGAGAATGAAAAACACATGTCCACAGAAGAGCTGGCTTTCTGAGCCCTCAGCCTTCTGCTCTCTGGATATTCATAACAGCCATGGAGTGGGGTGGTCACACTGCAGCTTATACAGGGACAGGAGTGATACCTTGGTCTTTTTTCATGGGTTAAATTCTCATCTCCAAGCTCCCACCCTGCTTCTCTGCCTCTGGGATACCCAGCCCTACTCAGAAAACCCGGCCTGAGCTGTTTGCCCACCTTGAGACCCAGAGGCGAATGCTGGCGCTCCAGTCTAAATTCAGCCAACCCCAATCTCCTTACCCTAAACGCCATTGTCTAGTTCTGTTCCAGCAGATGGTACCCTGACCTGACACACAGGTCTTGAGGCTTTGCTAGACGGCTTGCTTTCTCAGCTATTCCTTTATACCTGATAATATCTGTACCATACCTCACACTTATGGAGGTGGGGGTGTTGGCTGTGTGTCATCTTAAACACAGGAAGGAAAATTAAGGCACTGATTGGTATAACCACACAAATCTGCTGAGTCAGGTGATGTGTGGAGCTGGAGACCAAAGCATGTTCCAGCACACGGATTTCACACGAATGTCTCAATGACTCCAACCTTCAATAGGCACACAGCATCTGAGAACCCTGGCACAGAAGAAATGCTCAATGCCAGCATCTCCTACCTTCATCCCCCACAAGTCACTCCTGCTGACTATCAAGCCCTCTGAAGCACTTTAGCCTCATCTATCCAAAAGATAAGCCTGGAGGACAACCCTGCAGCAGCCTCCTACTGAGAGGACAGAAAGCTATGCAGAGCAAATCCCAGGCAACGAAGTCTACATGGCTCCCTCTGCCAACTCTCCAACTGTTTGCTGAGTTCTCCCACAAGTCCGAGGAGGTTCATGCTGAACTGGCCATCACAGAGCCTGGGAAGGGGACTCCTTGTCTCTTTGACTTCTTCCTCTTGACTCTGCTGCCCCATGGGATTGGCTTAGGGGGCACTCGGCGGGTCCTGTCACATCCGTCCTTTGCTTCATCCATGAGAATCCGCCTGTGGTTAAGACCCAGTTATCCCTGAGTGACAGGGCCAATTCAGAAGCATCCTTGGGAGTAGCATCCCAAGATTAGCTTCACCAAGTTCTTTTGCTCCCGAGGTAGCCGTTCACTCTAGAAAACCACGATGCCGGGAGAGAGCGCTCACGTATTAGAAAAAAGGGCAGTACCCTTCAACGCCCCTTTCCCAAGAAAGCTGCCCAGATCATCTTATTCAAATCAGTAAGTAGAGCCAGCCCTGCTACTTTTGAACCAATCGGCACCACATGCCCTTTTTCTACCCTGTGTCCGTGGGCCGTACTAAGTTCCATCAGGCTGCAGCCTAAAGCTCGGTATGCCCTCGGTGCTTAACCGCAAGGACCTAGGGCGTTGGCAAGAGCTGGGGCAGACGAACACAGGCCCCCAAAGCTCCGGAGCCCGACCGACCGCAGGCAAGCGTGTCACTCAAGGCCATGCCGAGTCCCCGCGCGGCAAGCCTGAAGCAGCACTCAGGAATCTGGCAAGCATGTGGCCAGCGGCCTGCCTCCACACAGGCCCAGACACCCGCCCGCAGCCCGCACTGACCCACTAGAGCCAACCCTAAGGGCGTGGGGCCCGGGCACTCCAGGCCTCTGCCGCACGTGTGCTCCATGAGGCGGGGCCCGCGGTACTCACACGCCAGCCAAGGACGCAGCAACCAAAACCTGGGACTGCGAGCTCAGGACTGCAAAGGAGAGGGAGGGCGACCGCGTAGCTCCCGGAAAACGCAGCGGCACAGACCACGAAAGGCGCGGCGGGGGACCCAACCCTGGGCACGCGCTGCCTTGCCCTCAGAGCATGCATCACGATGCATGCAGGAACCACCATGGTAGAATCCAGCACACAGCTACCTCGAGGGCTGCGCTTCACTCAAGTTGTCGCCGCTGGTAGCCGAGAGCCGGATCTCCCAACGCGCCGCACCCCTCCACGGCACGAAGAGTGGAGCCGCCGGACTAAGGCGGGACGAAATGAAGTTGGTGTGCGCACGCGTCGGTGACGCGCCCAAGGCCAGACTCTGCGCAGGCGCCACGAGGCGGAGGGGCGGGACTTGCGGGCCCGTGCAGGCAAGGCTGGCGAGACAAAAGGGAGGGACCCGGGCAGCCCCGCCCCCGAGCCCCGCCCCGAGCAGCCCGCGCGGGGTGTCAGGCTCGCTATCCCGAGTGGTCCCTATCGCCGACGCCATGTACCCCGCGAGCCCTCCGGCCGGCCCAGCCCTGCACCCAGTCCCTCATCGTGCTCATCTTCCCCCGCCCCGGTGCCTTGCTGAACCACCGCGATCACCGGCGCCCGGTCCGGGTTCCACGGCGCGCCCGCTGCCCCCAGCGCCCGGGCCGCGGCCCCGGGTGGCCGTGAAAATGACTTTCCGTAAGGCCTACTCCATCAAAGACAAGCTGCAAGCCATCGAGCGCGTCAAGGGCGGTGAGCGGCAGGCCAGCGTGTGCCGCGACTTCGGCGTGCCAGGCGGCACACTGCGTGGCTGGCTCAAGGACGAGCCCAAGCTGCGCTGGTTTTTGGACCAGTTAGGTGGAGAAGTGGGCACGCAACGCAAGAAGATGCGTCTGGCCAACGAGGAGGAGATCGACCGCGCCGTCTACTCATGGTTTCTCACCTTGCGCCAGCACGGCGTGCCGCTGTCCGGGCCAGTTATCCAAGCGCAGGCTGAGGCCTTTGCTCGCCAGATCTACGGCCCCGAGTGTACCTTTAAGGCTAGCCACGGCTGGTTCTGGCGCTGGCAGAAGCGCCATGGCATCTCTAGTCAGCGCATCTATGGTGAGGCTGAGCTCCCAGTCGCAGGCCCCGCGCCTGTCAAAGAGGAGCCCGTGCAGCCACCGGGCGCAGGTCTCCTACCTGATGGCGTGCCATCCGGTCTACCCCATTCCGAGGGCGGCTATGGCGATGAGCAGATCTACAATGCTAACGTTACTGGTCTCTATTGGAGGTTACTTCCGGAGCAGGCCGCAACTCCGGGCACTGGGGACTCTAGGGAGCCTGGTGGGTGCAGCCGACGCTGGCGCAGCGACCGAGTGACAGTCCTGCTGGCCGCCAACCTGACGGGCAGCCACAAGCTGAAACCACTAGTCATCGGGCAGCTACCGGACCCACCCAGCCTGCGTCACCACAACCAGGACAAGTTCCCGGCCTCATACCGCTACAGTCCAGATGCCTGGCTCAGTCGACCACTTCTTCGGGGTTGGTTCTTCGAGGAATTCGTCCCTGGGGTCAAGCGCTACCTACGCCGAAGCTGCCTGCAACAGAAGGCTGTGCTGTTGGTGGCCCATCCACCCTGTCCAAGCTGGGCTACTAGCATGCCTGCCCTGGAGGAGAGTGAGGAGGCTCCCAGGCAGTGTCAACCTGAGCTTCTTGGGTCCCCAGAGGAACTTCAAACACCAGATGGTGCAGTTCGAGTGCTCTTCTTATCCAAGGGCAACAGCCGTGCACACATCCCTGCACCATTGGAGCATGGTGTGGTGGCAGCCTTCAAGCATTTGTACAAACGGGAGCTCCTGAGGCTTGCTGTGTCTTGTGCCAGTGGCTCCACTCTGGACTTCATGAGAAGCTTCATGCTCAAGGACATGCTCTACCTGGCTGGCCTCTCTTGGGACTTGGTCCAGGCAGGCAGCATAGAGCGCTGCTGGCTGCTGGGTCTGCGAGCAGCATTTGAGCCTGGGCAGCAGCCAGCCCACCAGGTAGAGGAGGCTGCTGAACACAGCAGAGTGCTCAGTGATGTCACACATCTGGCAGCTCTGGCTTACAAGCGCCTGGCACCTGAAGAGGTGGCAGAGTGGCTACACCTGGATGATGATGGAGGTCTCCCTGAGGGCTGCAGAGAAGAGGTGGCCCCTGCAGCTCCTCCATCCCCAGCTAGCCTGCCCTCTAGCATTGGGGCTGGAGAGGAGGAGGAAGAGGCCACTGAACAAGGAGTGTTGGTACCTACTGCTGGGGAAGCCGTTTGGGGACTAGAGACAGCTCTGAGGTGGCTGGAGAGCCAGGATCCTAGAGAAGTGGGGCCGCTGAGGCTTGTGCAGCTCCGTTCTCTCATTACCATGGCACGGAGGCTTGGGGGCATTGGCCCCTCAGCAGCAGCTTCTGATGATGGTGTGTGACTACCTTGGCCCAGTGGCCTTTTTCCTGCTGCACTGGGAGAGAGGGGGCATACACAGTCTTCCATCTTCCACCTCTTCTCCCTGGTAGTCCACTATAGAGGTCCAGGGATGCCAGCCTAGCCCAGCCTGGATGAGCTGCCCCATGATCCACAGGGTCCTGGAGAAGTAGCTAAAAGAAGCAAATGTTCTTCCCTGGGTAGGCACATGTGGGCACATAAGCACAGCACATACTGGAGAACAGTTGACTGTACTTGCATTCTGGCCCCTATGGGGTACACACACACACACTTGCCTCTATGTGCACTGGCTGAGGCTGCTGCTGTTTCATCTGCTTCCCTGGTGCTACCTGATCTCATCTCAGTGGGGAAGCACTTGGTTTTGTTTTAAAAACACATTAAACCTGTTTGGAAAGATGCCCTTCCTGGGGAACCATGAGTGCTGGCAGGGTGAGGTGGTCTCTGGGCTCTCTTGCCCTTGCTCTGATAACTGCAGGTCCTTATGGTGCTGGATCAAAGCCCAGGCTAGACTCCAGTCCCTCATCTGAGGTGGTGCACTCACAAGAGAGTGGGAGGGGGGAAATGGAAGCCCAGTGCTTGGTGAGGTTTTAGATGCAACAGAGAGGATAGCAAAATCTGTTCGACTTGGATTTTTACACCCCCCCCCCTTTAAAAACTACATCTGGATAGGTCTATTCATGAGGTTGGCAAGTGTTTAGATTCGAACCCAGGTGGCTTGACCAGGAAGAGCAGAACAAACCACAGAGCACTTTGTCTAGCTCCAGGGCAATCTGATCTTCCTAGAAACAAATCAATAGCCTTTGCAACCTACTGGGAACTCTGCAGTGCCTTAGGTCAACCTCTAACCCCGTGGGCTCTTCCTGCACCAGCCTTCTCCCTAAACTCATCCACCGGGAATCGCCAAGGGTGTGGCTGAGGAGCTATTGCTGCTGGATAGCCCAGGTTGAAGGAGAAAAGGCTCAAAGGAATGCCCACATTTTGTATCACTCTGCTGCTCTGTCCAACTGTGGATTCCCATTACTGAGCTAAGGCACCTGTGACTTATGGATGGGCACTGTTGTCTTTGCAGAAATACTGTCCCGAGCCCTTGTCCTGGTGCTCTATCCTCGTCTTCACGTCTCCTAGTCTGAGCCTTGAAAACATGAAGTGGAGAAGGGCAGGGGATGTAATAGCCTGGCAATGGGCAGAGCCTTGGCTGACAAATCCAAAAGTGATTTCCATGTAGCTCCAAGAATACAACTCCCTAGAGCCACGACTACATCCCAGTCAAAAATGTGCATAAATATCAAAGGCTGAGGGAAAGCATGGAGCAAGGGAACCAGGCTCAGGTAGCACACTAAGGGACCATCTGACCACCTAAATACCTAGCCTCCCTGAGACCTAGAGAACCTTGGGCAATCGTGGCTGGCAGGGAGTCTCCAGCACTGGCTACTTGGGTCAGTTATCAAAAGTCTAATGTGTTTGTACCAGCAGCCTCCATATCAGCCAGGCACCCAGGTTAGGAGCTACCATCCAGCTTTGACGGACCTGATTTTAAATCTGCAGAGAGGCAGAACTGGGCCTTGGATGCCCATTCAGGCTGGGTAGCTTCTAGTAACTGTTCTTCAGCCTAGGCAACTCTCTTTTGGAGAGGTTTTCATCTGCCTGGGCCCAGGCAGACAGAGTTGGCAGAGACTAGGGCTCAGATATAAAATCTCTCTCACTAGCCTAACTGTCCAAAGCCCCTTTCGCTCGGGCACACAAGGCCCAAGAGGTTGTTATGGCATCATATTGCTGCTTGCCCCAAAAGCAAGTAAGTGTGGTCTGGTCTAGTGACAAGAGAGTTCCTGTCAGGTTTGTGTCCATGTACTGTCATTAACTGGGCTAGAGAGATGCCCATGAGGAGGCTCAAAGGTGTCATCTCAGGCTAGGGATGTAGTGCAGTGGTAAGGTGCTTGCCTAGGATGCCAAAGGCCCTGGGTTCAAACAACTACACTACAAAAAAAGAAGTAGTACATTTAGAATGAAACATTCTGGTGTTCTTTACATGCTATAGGCAGAGGTTCTGGTGGCTGAGTCCTGGTTGTGGAAGAGGCCACTTTTACCCAGGTTGCCAGACATATGCCCCAGCAGGGAGTCCTATAACTCTGGGGCTTACGGTGCTGAATAACCCGGTGCACAGAGGTCTCAGCCCCAATGCCAGTTCAGCTTGAGATGTGCAATCAGTTCACCTCTCTGTACTCAGCGTCTGATGGGGCTCCATAGGGGCTCATGGCCCCTCAGGAGAGAACCTTACACTCATATTTTTTCTACCTATTGGTGTTGTACCATAGTTCCCTGTGGGCACTGAGCTGCATGAATTAGTAAGGAGGGTGACACTGTAGTTCCTTTCTTCAGCAGCCAGTGCCACCTGCTGTGTACCAGGCATCACACAGGAATCCCAGGTCACTTGCCCCCAGAAGTCTACCTGCTCCCCATAGTGTGGTGGTCCTTGGGCTTGGGAAGTATAGATGGCCTGTACTGCTGTGTTCTACCTTCATAAACAGATTGTCTGGAGAAACCACCCAGCACAGAAAGATGGGGAGCATGGGTTTTGGTTGGAGCCACCAGCAGTGGGGGACTGAGCCCTTTATACTACCTAGTTAGAATTGCCTGTGGGAAGCCCAGCTGGGACCTGGCACCCAGTTTAGCCTCTTCTGAATGTATCCACAAGAGCATCTTGACTCAAGCAGCTGTCCTCCAGAGAAAGGATCTTGGACTTGTGGGCTTCCTGTCCTATTGTAGGGCCCTTTCTCTGACACTCAACCTTGCTCAAAGCTGAGTTAGTTCACCTGGCCAGGTGTAATAAAGGTGAAACAGGTCGACGTCATTAGCTATCCTGTTTTAGTCTTATTTTTGTGACTAGGTCTAATGCTTGCATCTGGGACACTCCATAGGATGGGGGAGGAGGAATGTATCAAAGCGGGGCAATATTGATTAAAGAGAACGCCATGAGCACCTACCAGTTTTTATCTCAGAAAGGAGCACACAGCAGGCAGAGGCCTCATGATAGCGTCACAGTTGTATGGCCCCAAAACTGCTTCTCTGAGTAGCCAACAGCCTGTGTCCCAGCCTGTCACCAGTGAACCTAAGGCCATGTAACAACGTGCTCTAGACTGTGACCCAGCAATGAAGGGGTGTGATCCACTTCCCAGCCCTGGTCCCAGGGACAAACAGCCATCGGTTCACGACCATCACTGACTGACTTGGCAGGTTGGCAACCCAAGGAGTTCCCCCACAGGGTTGCCTTATACCAGACCCTGGGACTCTATCCTACCTAGACTTGGGATAGCTTGGAAGCCCTGTTGCAGGGAAGCTGATTGTCTCTGAACGACACAGGCGATTGGCCCTGTGCCTGGGATGGTGGAGCCCTCTGCTGTCTGTATGGCCTGTCTTCTCACCTCTTACCATTGGCCAGCTCATTCAGCACTTTGTATAAACACAACAGCTGAGCTGTTTTTCTACAAATTCTTACAAGTGAGGAAATAGGGGCATGGACTGGACTCAGAATGGCCCTTCTGACAGGTGACAATGCCAGAGTCCAATCAGGTAGCCCATGGCTGAGAGAAGCTGCCCACTGGGAACGGGCGGAGAGCTGGACATCCAAGGCAAGGGGCTGAGAGAACACAGGGCTGCGGTGTTGGAGGAGTGGGCTGGGAATGAGACAGCCTCTTCCGGTCTGGAAGTACCATTCGCTAGTCCTGCTTCATGGATAAGGGTTACCTTGCTTAGTGTCACTCAGCTGACAGATGCCACCATGGGAGCTGCACCAAGCCACAGTAATGGGCGCTTCCACCTAATCTCAGGAGGCTGCTCAGTAAAAGTGAGGGAGTCAGCACTTTGGCGGCTGGGTGGCGATGATCGTCTTGGGGCAGAAGGTACCTGGGACAAGGACAGGACCACACCAGGTTCTCCCTATGCAGTGGTCTCAGAGCTCTGGCCCTCAAGCCCATCGCCTCACTTTTCTCTATGTCCTGGTTTTCCTGGCATGCTGGTACAGGAAACGATATCAAAACAATATCATTTTTTTGATATCCTTTCAAATCCTGTAGAGTCAAAATCCTGCCAGGGCAGTACCAGGGCTACAGGGCACTCAAGAACTCCTGACCCAAGCCAGAAGTCTGGAGACTCAAGCTCTGCCTGCCATAGAGCCAGCCTGGGTCCAGTAGTGAGGCGGCCCATGTCCAGCTGAAGGCAGGGCTCTTGTCTAGCTAGGACACACCTTTAAAACCTTACAACAGCTCTTCCCCTTGACTGGAGCACAGAGCAAGCTGGACAACTTACCTCTGCTGCAGGAGCCACCTAGGTGCAGTTTCTCAACTGTGGAAAGGCATGCCTGCTCGGGGGAGGTGGGGTTCCCAGCTTCCACTGGGGATTCTCTCCCCCTCTGGGTCAAGGCTCAGGCTTCATGGAGATGGAGGGAACTTTTTGGGCAAGTGACATCTATTCCTCTGCCATTCCATTCCTTATCCTCCATGAGTATGACCACTGGCTTTTGAGAAGTCCCATGGAAATTCAGAGGAGGGCCAGGGCTCCAGACCAGGATCAGTAGCTCTTGTTGCTAGCAGAAGAATACTTTATTGCTTCCCAAACAGGCCAGCTTTCAGGCACTGGAGACCCAACATTGCCAATTATGTCAGTAGAGTTATTGCCACTCTGAGGGGTAAGGAGGCCTGCAGAAATGAATACCTTTTCCAAGTGTAGAGGAAGTGAAGACACTTGTGTGATGGGACAGAGACCTGTGGTCCTTAGAGATGGGACAATGGGAAGATGAGGGTGACCTAGAAAAGGAGGCTAGTGCCCAGTGTTGTAGGAATTTTCCCTGAGGAAATAGAAATATGTACCCTCGGCCGGGCAGTGGTGGCGCACACCTTTAATCTCAGCACTTTGGAGGCAGAGGCAGGCAGATTTCTGAGTTCAAGGCCATCCTGGTCTACAGAGTGAGTTCCAGGACAGCCAGGACTA